TGAAGAGTCTGCAAAGATTTTTTATAGATGATCTGAACAGATGGTTTATACAGTATTCCATACTTCTTGTGAACTTTCACAACTTCTTTCACCAACTGTTCTTTTCTTTAAGTGACATAGAAACAGTCCAATAAAATGACCATGACTTTATTTTGGTATGCTCATGCAATTTTTTAATATCCATTTTAAAATTTCTTTTAACAGTAGGAAAATCATGGTCCATTACTTGTCAGGTGGTTTTAAAAACTACATAAGATATCTCACACTTATTTCATTCACAGAATGAAAGAACAAAATAGCGTAATTTTTATCTTATTTTCTGGGAAATTCTTGTAAAATAACAAGCTAGAATTCTAAGAGTTTACTTCTCTATTCTTTCATGAATACCCAGGAGCTTGATCACTTATCTCTTTTTATCTTGGACTTCTTTTCCTGGAGATGAATGATCTTCAAGGACTGCAGCTCTTATTATTATGCACTGGTGTTATTACTTTGTGCTATTGCCCAGTGTCATAGGATGATTTACTTTAGCAGATAGCATGCATGAAAAAAATTAATCATTTTCATTTTTAACATGACAAAGACAGAACTTTAGGTTACTTTCCATAATTTATATCATCATTCAATCCTTTCCTTTTTGTGGCATCAGGATTAATGTTAGGGCCCATGCTATTCTATTTGCCTGAAGTAGCTTACTTCAGGGTTTTTCTTACTGTTACTGAGCTGTTCTAAACTCATTAATCCATTTTGATGTCAAAAAGCTATGCAAGGTGTGTAGGAGTGCTCACCAGCCCTATTTAAGGGAAATTTTTTGTCATTTCTGAGCAGATTAGAGAAGGATGAGAGCTCCAAGTTAAGCCTGTGACTGGGCATCATATTTTCCTAGAATCATGTCTTTGTATTTGAGAGGGAAAAATCCATACACCCATTAGCAAACTTCTGAAAAATAAACTCTCTGGCAAAATATCAAAATACGGTGTTTCTGAATTAAGCTTAGAATGTATCAGGAGAAAGCACAAAACTTTAATTTATTGAGAATGTTTCACTCAGCCACACTGAATCTGTATTCTGTTTTATCTCAGCTCTAGGCATTATTAAGGCAGAGAACAAATGAAGGAAGGAAGATAAAGGCCTCAGAGAAAGCAAACAAATGTAGGTTAACATAAAAAAAACTGAACTGATACACGAGTAAACTTTATATTTATTCAGAGATGGCAAAAAAATAAGTGAAATTATTTTAAAAATGCAATAAAAATCAAAGAAAGAGAAGGAACCTTAATGAATTTCCTTAAGAGTGGGACACTTACTCTTCATGCTTTTGTCTGTACAAGAATTACTAGAAAAAAAAGATGACATCTTAGACTATGAGAGACTGAAATTGTTAATGGGTAAACATTGCTAAAATCATTGGAGGACTTTTTCCCACTATAGCAAACTGCAAAGAAGCAGCTGTTCATCTATGACCACCAAAGTCCACCCCTCCACAAACACACCTACTAACTGGAATTTGGATTGTGACTGGAACTTAAGATAAAGGGCTTGCTACTGTCCAATCATCCCAGGTCTTGGGAGGAGAATGTATCCACAAGTAATACTGGAAGAGAGACTGGAATGCTAAAAAGTCTCAAACAACTGCCGATGTGCAAAATACCCACCCAAGTGCAGAGGGCTGCCTTGGTAGCATCAGGGACATTATGTGCCTGAAGGGGCTTATCTCTGCTGAAATAGTGGGCCATATTTAACTAAAGTGCACTGGCATAATAGGCAGCTGTAATGACTTAGACCATCAAAGACTCCTGAAATACATGCCCCCCTGCCAATGAACAAATATATAGATATAGATACACATGTTTATAGACACTGACTATTCAGTGTTGTTTCACTCTAATCTGCCCCAAGGGATTTATTAACAACAACATGAGCTACCCTTGCCTTCTAGGGCAGGATGGAATACAGACTTGATATGTAATTTATACATAATCTCAGGTGAGATTAATTCCAGTTTGGGGAACATTTTTTGGATCAACTGCAGCTACTGCTTATACTGCTATATATATACTGCTTATACTGAACAGATAAACAGCACAGAAAGATAGCACAAGACAGGAACTGAACACTTGCTGCTATATGTACTGTAACCAACAGTCTCCAGATCTGCCATTTCAGCAGCACATTTTTGTTCTGTATAAGAAAGAAGCACCTGACTTGCAGTTTCTTTTTGAAGTGAGACACTAATTCAATTTGAAAGATCAGTCTCCAGCATGCAACTCACAGGAGTTTTTGTATTGCACTGCACGGTAACAGATTGAAATCAAATTTTAACACTATATGCATCTTTTTGCCTAGAGAATTAAATTCATTGGATTAGCCAAGTCTACATTTTTCTAACAGCAATTCCAACAGAGGGCAGTACTCCCAATGAACTACCCTATTGTAATTTACTGGCATTCCCAAAGGGAGTTAGGCACAGAGTGTTCCTTTATTCTTTGTGAGATAGCAACAAGTCTTGAGGTCACAGGTTGCAGAATCATCTAATAAAGGCATGTAAACAGTGATCAAAAGAGCATAGTGTAGATAATATCCCGCTATGGATTTTGTTTCCTCAGAAATACAAATAACTGCAGGAAATGTGCTGAAAAAAGGTTATTAAAAATCATCAGCTATTAATGAATATAGCCTCAAAGACTAGATTACTACTGTTAAATGTAGTGTCATATAAAAGCAAAATGAAATGCTAAAAAACCTATATTCATGAATTTAATTTTTATTAATTTTATTTTCCAATAACAGATTTTAAATAAGATTTGACCAAGAGTGGGAGTAACATAAAAAAATAAAGGGATCTTTGCCTTTCTTGTCTCTTGGCCTGTCTTGTTGAGTCTCCCAAGGCAAACACAGCTGCTGTTGCTGTGCATTACTTTTCTTTCTTAGGTAAGGATTTTATTGTCTCAGCTTTGCAACAGAAGCTGTACATTTTTTGAGGAAGAATGCCACCTTATTATGTCCACATTTTAGCAATGAGTTCTTCACTGTAAAGCCTATCTAGTGTTCAAATTCACCTGAACATTTGTTCACTGTAATAACTTTTATACAAGGCTGTAATTTAAATAATTTTATCAACAGTGGCTGTTATCATCTATTCACAAGCCTGGAGCACAGGCTACAGCTTCCACTTTTCCAAATGAGAAGCTTAAATGAGATGACAGACAAAGTGGCAATCTCCCTCTGTACAAATACACATGACAAGCTTCTGCTTGACTGGAACATTTCTGAAGCGAAGTTTTGTCAGCAACCGCCAATTTCTTGAGCTGAAAGCACTTTGCAAGAAGCACCAGTCTTAATTACATTTCACGCACTTTGTCCAGTCAGCTATGGCACACACTGTTACAGTCTGTTGGAAAGTTGTTGTTTTTTCCTATCAAATCCTTTGTCTGGGACTTCAGGAGTTCTGTCTGCAAACTAGTCCAGGTATAGGACATCACCAACAACTTGCCATTTCCCTAGGTTTCTTAAACTGCAGGGTATTCTTGTTTCTCTTCCATGAGGGTTAGGCCTAGTGTGTATTTCTCACACCTCAGATGAATACAGGATTATTCTTGGGACTACCTTAAACAGCCTCCAGTTAAACAAGTCCAGCACAGGTGTGAAAGGTGGATTTTGCAGGATTTGGCTAGCTGTAATCTTATTTCCTATAGGTGAGTACAGCATATAAAACCAAATTGAGAGGTCTGCATGATTCACCCTTATTTTTCAACATATTCATGAAAGCTGTTTTCATGGATAAAATTGCAGTGGTTTAGTTTGGGTTTTTTGCATTTTTTAAAATTAAATAAGTATCACAGAATCATAGAGTGGCCTCGGTTGGAATGGACCTTGGAAGATTATCTTCTTCCAACCTCCCCTGCTGTGGGCAGGGACACCTTCCACTAGACAAGGTTGTTCAAAGCCTCATCCAACCTGGCCTTGGACACTTCCAGGGATGAGGCATCCACAACTTCTCAGGGCAATCTGTTCCTGTGCCTCACCACCCTTACCACGGTAAAGAATTTCTTCCTAAGGTCTAATCTAAATCTACCACCTTTCAATTTGAAGCCATTCCCCCTTGTCCTATCACTACATGCCCTTGTAAATAGGACCACTCCTGTGTTAAGTACACCTCCTTGATTGTTTCTAAGCTAACTTCCATGAACAAAAGTGATGAAGCTTTATCAAAGACATCTTTCCTTCACACATGTTACTCGTGCCTTCAGTTTGAAGAGAAATGTGCCCTAAGCTATGACAAATTCTTATAGATAAAGGCTGATAGACTATACAATATAAAGAGTTATGTGTGAAAAGAGAAGTAAAATTAGATATTGAATACTTGTTTTCATAAATTAGACTTCAACCTTGTACATTATATTCCTTCCTCAAACATTGTCCTTTCTTCCCCCATCATGAACTAACTTCTGGTTTGCCAAACGACCCCTGCAAAATTTGCCATGAAGGCAACAGGACCCAGTCCGTTATGTAAGAAAATAGGTGCAGATCTCTACTTGCATATAGTGACCTTTCAGTTGTGTTTGTGTTGTTCAGAATCCTTCATGTGCAAGGAGGACAGTAAGCTGTTTATCTTTGTTATATGAGGGCATTACACTAAGGTTTCTTGAACTTACAGATTTGATGTCAGGTTTCTGAGGGCTTAAATGCAGAAGGGACTGGACTTCAGTGCTATGGAGAATGTCATGAAACAGATGTGATGGCATTATATGAAGAGTTAAAGCTGCCAAACATGTCATAAGGTTTGATAACTTCTTGCAACAATAACCTTTACAGAAAAATAAGTCCTACAAAGAAAATAATTTCCAACTGGAGGAAATGCTTTTAAGTGAAATCATCAATTTCTGTCTCAAAGACTAACCTGAAGCTGCAACAGTAAAATTGTTTCACTTGAAAATGAGTGAACATGGTCACTAGTACATCCATCTCAAGGATCCTCCTGGCCATTTGCATTGACTTACCCGCTTATGAAGACGTTCTGCTTCCTCCTGATATGCAGCAAGTTGCTGTTTCCATTGTTTCACATTGGCAGTGGACTCCAGCAGGGCTGCTGTGAGCTTAGCGTTATTACCCTTGAGCGTGGCCAGTTCTGCCTCCCAGTGCTTGCTGATTGTCGAGCTGCACAGACAGAATGAGAATGGTCAGAACTCCCAAGTCTCTTCCTTTATGCTTTTTAAATATCTTATCTTTTTTTTTTCTGTCCAGCAAAAAAGAGAATTACAGAAAAACTTATATAACCAACAATAACTAAATATAATATCTATTTGGTATATAACTAATATACCAAACAGAATAACCAAATGAGAATCCAAATGCTCAAATCATCAAAACTATAAATTAGGAAAATACAGATAATACCATTATTGGAAAACAACATCTACCTTCCCAGTCCAACAGAGTATATTTATAAATAAAATGTTGAAGATCATGAAATCCACAACAGCTTGCCAAAAGCAACACCAGGCAATTCAAGAATATGTATATGATTAGTCACTCTTTTAATATATGCACATTGAATGGAAGTGGTTTTTTAATCCACTACTTTATTAAATATGCTGTAGGAAAATATTTGTCATTGATTTGATTAAAGAGAGCTAATTGAGTGCTTTGCAAGTGCAGCTTTGTCTTAATGCAAGTCTTCCATTTCTGAAATACATTTTACTAAATACCATATTTAATTTGTTCTTGCAAATTCAAAGATCTTGAATTTCATAATACGGTTAATATGTTTTTCCTCACTAATATCAGCAAAGAGAGTAGAGATCAAGTAGGATGGATACACTACTGCTTTACTTCAAGGTGGAAACTGATGTTGAGGATTACTGAACTACCCTGTAGAGGAAAATTCCTGCTTACAATTTAGTTGTTCTCTTAGCAAATACAGGGCTTTAATTTTCGCAGTTTATTAGTTAATTAGTTTGCCATCATCTGCAGACCATATCTTTACACTCAGTATGCAAGGGAAAAGTATCTCAGACACATCAGGTGAATGCATTATATGCATTATATGCAAATATCTCATTAATGTGTACTCATATAATGCTAATATCATGTGAGATGCACACTTACATGGACTGTATATACAGAAAATAATTAATTTTGTTTAATTAGCTCACTATTAAAGGCATCAATGAAAACCAAAATTCTGTAACTTTGAGCAAAATGCTATTGTATGAAGAATCATCATAATATAATTATATATTCAAGCATATTTGTTAAAATTATTAAATTAATTATAATTCATTACTATTTTGAATGTAAATTTATAGATTTATTTGAACTTTGTACACATGTATAATGAAATATTCTGCTGTCATTTTGCCCACTTAGTCTCTTTTTTCCTGCATATGCAAAGTCCATCCCATCAAAGCATATTTCAAAAATAAATGCTATAAAAATAAATCCTACAAATGCTCCTTAGGCGTTCAGAATTAACCAAACACTGGGGAACATTCATTACCTATTCAGACCATGTGTACTGTTTCACTAAAATATTATATCTGATTCTTCCATGGTCCAGCATTTCCTTCCAAACAGTGCTTTGTCCCCTTGAACAGAAATACAAATTCCTCCAGAAGAGGAATATGCCCCAGCATTTAATGATACAACTAATTACAAGTTCACAATTGGAAATTTTAAATCTTAAACTAAAATAGTGATGCACACAAACTGATATAAGACAGCTGTATCTGAGGCAGTCAAAGGCTGAGAAATGTTTGATCATTCATCATCCTAAAGAAGCGAAAGGATTTTTTTTTAATCTACTAATGTGTGTATCTACAGTGATACCCTTCTAATCCATGAAGATCCCAGAGGCCAGGCTCTCAGGTAGTGATGAACAATAATGTGAGGGTGGTTAGTGGTGTGTATCACTTTCACCTTTGCCTGGTGCCCCTGCTACAATGCCTCCCAAGAAAATAGCCAGGAGCTTTTAAGCTATTCCTTGTATAATGGAATGTCAGTATGAAATATGAAGCATGTATTTTCTATTACTGCTATGGATACCCTAGTTCAAAAGCTGCAAGGTTTCTTTGGATCTGGTTATTTTTTAATTGGTTATTTTCAACTGGAATGCATTATTTCTCAACTGTACTCTTTTTCCCTAAGGTATCTACGTAGTCAGCAGGAACCTTCCTGTTGTAATACAGGTGTGAACTTGTTTGTAGCATATACTTGGGTTTTTTCTCTGAATAATTGTTTCTTCTACAGATTCTACTACAGCCCCATAAAATGGAAACATATTACTTAAATGAGTTAATTTTGTATTTTTTAATATAAAATGACTTCCTAACTCTTTAGATTTACCCTGTTTCTTATTAATGGATATCATACTGGGAAACACAGTCCCAAATGCATGGATTTTTTTGGTTCATAAAATCACAATTTGATTAAAATAGCCCATAACCACTTCTGACTGTTCTGACTTTCTTTTCACCAATACTTTCTTGAGATTATTAAAAAAAATAAAAAAGGAAAATAAAAACAACAAAGAAGATAATGAAATTATGTTCTGTGGATTACTTTGGTTAAAACTGGATTTAGATTAAGAACCAGATAAAGGCACACTTGCAGAAGGGTGTTCTTAGGTTAGACTGAGAATATCTGCATTGAAGCCTGTATCTGTAGAGCTACTTTGGTTCAAATTTACCAAACCTTCCTGAACAAAGACTGGGAAACATGATTCAGGCACAATGAAATTGACCCAAGGAGGAGGAGATGCTGAAGCTAACCCCTGAGAAAGGGATCACACTGATCAATAATATGATGTTCACATGGAAAGTCCAAAGGGGTCCCAGAAACTGCTCAAGCATGTAGCCAGAATTTTGATGATGGAACAGGTGCGCTACAGTCCCTTGGGATAGATACAGGAGAGCTGCACATACTCTTTCTCTCTAAAACCTTTTACTTAATTCCTGTCTGAAAGGCTTGCTGCTAAAAGGAATTGATTTTTCCCTCACTGCATTAGATTTTGTCACAGAAAATACATTCACAGCCCTGACAGGTTGTCTTAACAGTTGTAAATATCTAAACGTAATCTGAATCATCCCTCATGTGTTCTGAGACTATGTACCCTACAAAGCACTTGAAATATGTACACTTACTCAGCAATCACACTCATCCAAACAGTAATTTCTACCAGAGCACTTTCCAGCTCTGCAGTGTAGCAGAAAGCTGTATATAAACATTGAGGGACACACAGTCATGCACACTTGCACTCCTGTGGTGCAAGAATTCAACCTAGGCGCATACATGCTTTATTTTCTCCTGAAAGCCATCCATCCCTTTGCTGGCAATGTCACAATTTTAACAGTTATTTCTTGAAACCTGTCAGAATTAACATCACTGACTGCCTGACAAGCCCAAAGTTTCAAGATAGTCCTTCAAAAAAAGAAACATTAACACTCTAGCTTGTTGCCAGATTTTCAGCATAAAAAGCTACACAAAAGTTTTAAAAATACCCTAATAGAGAGTAAAGCCTAGTCATGTCCCCTGTGAAACTTCAGAACATCTGAAAACACAAGGACAAAATGTTTAGCGTAAATCGAATTGGTGCCAAATACGAGAGAGAAAGGGGTGCTCTAAAGAATCATAGCAAATTTTCTATTTTATTTGCTCAACTACCATGCTAATACAAAACCAAAAACAAACAAAAATGAACAAACAAACAAACAACAACAACAAAAGAATAAGCTTTCATGGAATTTCAAGCACTCTTTATTGAGCAAAAGGTCAAAACTCTCCTGAATCCCATGTCCTTGGTTTTGGCCACAGTATCTGGCATATGTGTAACATCAGCTGTGTCTACAGTCAGAACACCACATGGTTCCCCACTGTAAAGGCAAAGGATTCAAAATCAGGTATTTAACATCTGTGACATCCAGTAATTCAATTGTTTTCACAAAACACTCCTAGAAAAACTGCTGGCTGGTACCGCTTAACTTAGCTGTGATACCCTCTGAAAATTGAAGTAGAAGTCAGCTATCTTCCTTCCATACATTTAGGTATTCTGACCAATTAACATCAGGCCAATCTCCTTTCTCACTGGGGATTAGTTACAAGCCCAGTAAGTCACTGAGGAATAGCTTTGGTATCTGTCCATCTGTGACCTGAATAGTGTGCCAGAGGCTATAAATGCATGATTATCTTTCTCTGCAAAGTAGGTCACTTAAGGAAAATTAATCCGAAAAGCTCCAGCCACCACATTTAGCCAGTTGGAGAAGGCTTGCGAAGGGAAGGGACGATAAGCACACATTTATGAGTTCCATTCAGAATGATGTTATTTTGAGAAATGCTTTCATGACACAAAGAAACAAAAGCACTTCAAACTATGTTTCTGCTTTCTGAATCATAATTGCTTATTCACTGTTCGCTTAGTTGAATGCAGTGCCAACATTGTGAAACATGGTTTGAGGCTTATTTCAGATTTATAGCAATAAAATGTACAAGTAATTCCACTTTATTAATATTTAGGGGGCTTCATATTGCATTCATTGCATAAAATTAATTAGTTTAAAATATATTCTATAGCATAGTCATGGTTTCAAGAAATTACTGTTATTCAGGAGTGGATAAATTATTTTCATGTGGTGTCACTGTGATCTGCTTGGCAGGTGTGTGGTGAGCAATCCTGTCTTGGAACAGCAGAGGTGAAGACTTCAGCTAAGTAAAAATGGAGTACTTTCGACATAAAATGTGGATTCTGGTATAATAACTAAATCCATAAGACTTGAAAAATATGAACAGAGCAGAGTACTGGTAGCTGTCCAGATCACAAATAGTGGCATGTGCTGGAAGCAGCCCAAGAGTCTGAAGGAGTGGGCATTATCAAGCAGAGGGAGTGGTATGTCAACCAACTGGTAACAACAGCTGAGCTGGCAGCAAGGACTGACCCCTTCTGACAGCTGGGCTGGTAAGCCTTACAGAGCAGCTCCTCATGCTCAACAAAGCACAGGGGCATTGGAAACCATTTGGTCCTGTTGCAATAGCATTCGAGAGATCCAGTGAATGCGAAGCATCGCTTTCCTCCTTGGAAGGGTAAGGCAAGTGTTTGAGTTTATGTAAAATTCCCTGGTGCACTTGGAAAGGAATTCTGCAAAAGGACCTTATGAAATCTCCCA